TCTTCCTGTTTTTATTATTGTACCCAAGGTTTTCAGTCAGAAAGAAAATATATATATATACCATACCAAATCTGAACTCCTTATTACCAGCCTTTCCTCTTTCAAAACTTAGGATGGTAGATTATGAAAAATGCTTTCTTCTCTATCATCTTTAACTACCTTTTAAATGAACCATATATTTTTTTAAAAAACATAGTGAATTTTGCAGATTTTTTTTTAATAAAGAGGGCATTAAACTGCCTGTCTGGTTCTCAGGGTCTCAAATATCAGCTGCATCGCCCCAGTCACAATGTTGCTATCACAAAAGATCTTGCGTTGATCTTTTTCCTTTTACACTTAGACATGGTATTGGTGCAGGCAGGGGTGAACCCTGAGGCCTAGCTATACAAGATGAGAGCAGTGATACTGAAAATTAGGTGTGTAACTATTAATGGAAATAATCCCAGAATAGCAATAGTTTAGCTTGTTATTAAGTTGTTGTTGTTGCTTCATACAAATAAGTCTGCAGGTGGTCTTATAATATATTTGTAAAGCTTACACCAGTCACTAATAGTATCGTACTGCTTTCTGGCAGCTTCTTCTACTCTTCTCCAACTATTTGTACCTACAAATACTTATGTCCCCTGTAACTTCACTATAACCCCCTTTTTCCAACCATATTATTACGCTTTTATTAAACAGCTTCCAAATTACTGTCTGTCTGTAGTAGAGGATATTTGGATTTCAGTGCATATAACATATTTGTACATACTGTCACCTTAATTATGTATATTTCTAAATGATAATAGAAATCAGGCCTAATATAATAGTTACATACATGCTTAAGTTTTAGATATTAATGCAGATCTTGAAGTAGAAATAGCTGACAAAGAAGGTTAACCCATCAAATGAAAACCAAAACTGTGTATGTCACAAGAAGGAAAATTCCACCAAATTCTGCCCATTGGTACGTTTCTAATTGTGGCAGGCAGATTTGAGATTTTCTGGTCACAGCTGCAGGCTGAGAGTCTGATACCATTTTCTGCTGCCACATTAGCTTCAGCAATCCCAACCTGAACTGACATCACAGACTGTTAAAATTTTTATAAATTGTGGTATGATTAATCCCCCAGTACACTGGAATGACTTAAATATTTAGAATGTTTCTTCTGTTATGACTTTAATGCATGTAAAGTAACAAGATTAACTCCAGTGCACTCAAATGTATTTAAATATGTATTCTCCTTGAGCTGTAGGCTAGTTCTGCATGTAAGAATCATTGAGCATATTTGGTCATGTCAGACCCTATTTGTATGACCTACTCTGGATATTGGCCTGTGTATGAGAACTGTATATCTGGCCTTTTCAGAGGTTGTCTGATTGCTTGCCTCATTTGGCATGGAATGTGATTCCCTGCTATTCTGGCTTCTTATTCATTCAGTTTTTATTGCTGTGTAATTTTCTTATTCTAAAATAAAAGCTCTCCAACAAAAATTACTATGCATTAGGCCGCAGTAGCCTACTCAAATGGATATTAATACAGTTTATCTCTAAAAGGACGAATAATGTATTTGAAACAGATAAAAGGCCCTCCACTAAATGAGGAATGTTAATATCTTATGGCATGGTTAATAAAGAGATATTTCACAAGGGAGACTTGTTTTATGACTTTTGATACAACAGACTTGTAATCTGACATATCTTAAATGATATAATTTTGCACATCCATTCATCTCTTTTACATCCACCAGTCTAGTTTAGTAAAATTTGCATTCAGGACAAATTACTGGTACTAATTATTTATTCTGCTACATATCTAGAGACAGATACATACCAAACAAATCTATAATAAAAATTGTGAATTGGCAACATCTGGAAACTTGTTTGTTTTCTATCTTGGATAAAGCCAAATGTTTACATTTTTGTTGTCTTTGAAGCAATGTTTAAATTTTGCACATTCTCTTATGCTGAGCGAGAAGGACTAGCACTAGATAATTTCTTTGAATAAATTACCCAAGTACCAAGTACATTAATTCTCAGCTATCAGGATGCTGACAGATGTAAAGGACTTAGAATAAAGAACACCAATATTAACATTACACAAATTTGCTTTATTTCTCTTCATATTTCTTCTTCATCCCTGACTTTAGCTTACCAAGGCTCCTTCTCTAATTATCCACGAGGTCAGTAAGCAAAATTGGGAAGAAGCTGGGAGATCAATACAAATTATCCCTGAGCAAACCAGTGCTGACAGTTTGAATTGCAGCATATGTTTACCCAAAATCAGGCAATTTATCTTAATATCAGCAAAGTAATGCAGTGCAGGTGAAAGGTCAGGCAATCTCTCCACCTCATAATTACCCAGTTCTAAAACAGGAAAGTGCTATTGATTGGCCTGGCTCAGTGCTCGGTGACTGGGACGTGCCAATGCCTTGCCCTAGCTCTGCTGGACTCTCAGCTTGTAAACTCGACACACCAAGGATTTATTAGATGTGTGCAAAAGGTCTTCTGTATTCTCCTCTAGTTGTAGATTTTGCCAGGGAAGTCTCTCCTACTCCTCATTTTGTCAGGAAAAAAAGTGATAGATCTTGGGCATATGTGCACTGCTCTCCATTCATTGAGGGCTGAAGGCTGAAGCTGCTAGAAGTTCAAATAAGAGTAGGAGAGGAGTCAAGGTGGATTTAGCCCGTTATTAGTCAATCTGTTCTGCATATTGCTGGCTGTTCTTTGAGGCACAGAGGCAAATTGAATAACCCAATGCCCAATTATCAGAAGCTCAAAGAATTTTAAATAAAAGACAGCTTTATCATAATTTAAAGAGAGGGGCAATCTTTTCTCATTCTTGCATGCAAATGTATGCCTGTACACAGATATTCATGGTTATATGTGAGTCAGAATTCTGCTTGGAATACTGTACATTTGTCAGATGAAAGACATAGAATTCTACATATTATAAAGGGACAAAGTACTAATTATTATTTTAGGCAGAACAGTATTCTTCCATTCTTCAGGTTTTGTCATTGTCTTCCTAGTGCCAGTCTAGCTTTGCAATTATATCTGTAGAACTTCAAATTCTTCTATGGTTGTAAGATTGATACTGTAATATAAATTGAAACATTTGGAGGTGTAATTCCTAGCATAGAAATGTAGGGTTATTGTAAATCATAAAGCCTTTGAAAGCTTGCATCAAAGCCCCCATCACCTGTCAGTTATATCTGCATGAAATCAATTGAGGTTGGCCATCTATCTTTTCTGATCACCTTCCGTCAGACCTTTCATGAAGTCAAACAGTCATAGCGATTAGCCGGAAAGTTGAAGAAGCAACAACAGCTCTGATCTATTACGTGAGCACTGACTGCTACCTTTTTTTGTTCCTTAATTGGGAACAGTAACACTTTATCTTTTATACAGTATTTTGCCAGCGAGTCATTTTGTGAGGCTACACAAGGCCCTCATCTGTCCAACCCTCTTGGCTTCTGCCTGACACACTAGTATGGGACCAGGCAAAGACATGACAAATTGTCCCCAAAGTCAGTGCTGACAGCTTCTGATGATTAATGGTCTGATTATGAAGTGGTTTTACACATATAGAATTTACATCACAGAGAGTTAGAAATTTTGCCATGTCACAGACGCCAAGGCATTTTGAAGAGCTTTACTATTTGCAAAGAAAAAGGAGGGTGAAATCCCAGCAAAAGCCATGTCATGTAAAATCAATACATCGGATCAATGCTTTATTAACAAGAAAATGTCTTACTTCACATTCCTATGTGGACCTTTGTCTCCGGGATGCATGATGGAATGTCAAATCATATTGCAGTCTTCAACTTTCTGCTATGTTATTGAGTGCTTATTGTGGGAGCCTCCATGCATTGATTATGAGATGTACTATTGTATGTTTACACAAAAAACAAAAGCACTTAATAATATTATGAGCCAGTTATTTAAAAAAAACCAAATATCAGGGTGTATTAATGAACTAGCAAATTATAAGCATTTTTTTTTCTTTTTTGCCATCGCTTTTGCTCAACAAACCTGCTGAGCTGTTTGGTGTTAATCATCAAATTACATGCTGACTAATGAGTGATAGTCTAAATTCTACGCTGAGTAATGAATAGATGGAGGCAGTTCTTATTAGTCCCATTGATTTATGTAGCGCCATGCACCATGCAGTTACTCTGTTAAAAACGATATCTACATCAGGAAGTAATATACTCTAATAAGTATTTTCATCTTAACTTGAGTCGTTGGGCCTCCAGGCTCAGTTTTTGTTTGAGTCAGGCAGAGCTATAATAAAGCCCTATGACTCCTTGCAAAGCTTGTTAAACACAATGTGTGCAGTCTAACTGAGTCAAATTCATGATTCATGCACTGTACACAGCAGCATGTGCTGCTGATTTATGACCAAGCACAGTTCATAGTCAAAATTACAATTTGAGGGATAAAAAGATTAATTACTATTTGTGGCCTGCAATTTTGTGAGGCTAGTGGTTTGCAGCTGTAGAATGATAGTGCTCTACATCAGTCTGTAGTCAGCCATTCACAGATTATTAAAGCTTTGCAAGATTAAGTGCTCCTCCTGCCTGGTTTGTGCTCAGGCAATATGCTAGACAAAAAAGGACCACAGGGATAAATCTGAAGCAAGCAATAGCTGGACATATGTCATAATTGCCAGTTTCCCATAAATTCACAGACAGTATAGAAATGCAGACATCATATCATTACTCTGGTGAGTGCTATATATGGCTTCAAGACCTGTAACTTTTGTTACTGTGCCAACCATTTTATTATTATTATTATTTTTGCAATATGCTTTTTTTTGGCAATTCCACTATTACACGTATCCTTCTAATTATGGACACAAAGAATATTCTCCATGAGTGAAAACAAGAAGAGTCAGGAAGATGAGTTCCAAGAAATCTGTTTTTTAAAGAAAAAATTGCAAGGGTTTAGTCAGCCTGTTCTTTTCATATGTTTGCTAATAACTACAGACTGACACATTGTTCTGTATGCTTTTTCAG